TAAAACTGCACATGCAGCATTCCATTTTACATCATAAGAAAAATATTCTAAAAATGATAGAACATACTTCACTCTATACACACTAATCAAAATTGCAGATAAATGTGATAAGTATTTAGAGTGAATCTCTTCCAAAGAAAGATTACTTTCTAAATTTAAACTGTCATCGTTCAAATCGTTAATGAGAAATGTAACGACAGTATAGAATTAAACGTTTTTCGTTCCCGAGATGAACGTTTTGTACGAATTAATCACTTACGTACAAACATCAGTAATTACTCAAGATAATAGACAAAGAAGTGCTTGATATACAATAAGATTTTCTCACATTTACCGCACTTTGACGTTCAATTATATGTATAGTTATTACATTTAATAATTATTCGGCAATTAGTCATCGTAGACAGTTCGTGGACTGTAAAGTCGCCGGACTAAGCGAAAACTTCGACGCTTCTTTTCGCTGTAACTCGCTCGGGCCGAAGACTTCGTCAATGTAGCATCAATACACGACACTCGTGCTAACATCACAGTTTAATATTACATATTATATAATTATATAATTTTAATATTATATAATTATAATATTCAGCCACTTTCTCACTCTTTCTCTCTCTCTTTCTCTCTTTCTCTTACGCACTTAAATATACGCTACTCGCATGGCTGCTTTTTTTGGCAACCGCGCAATTAAGCTCATGTGTGCCCTCCCCCGCAAAATGTCGAGTCGCACGCGACTCGATGGTCTTCTTTCTCATAATTTTACATTTTAAAATTCGAAAACTTGAGATCGTTTTCTCGCTCGCTCGTGTATATGTCTACGATACACGATTATCCCAAAAACTCAAATTCGAAAATGTAAAAACAAAAATCTACGATCTCGAGATACTAAGGATGAAAACAGACGTCTATACTTTACTTAGTTTATTTGGTCTATTATACTTTGTCTATACTGGCGGGCTTCTTTAACGCTGCCTGCCTCCTCCGGATGAACGGCACTATGCCCCAAAGAGACGAGCCGAACACCAGAATGATGCCTAGTATACTGAAGATTGGTCCGTAGCTGCCGATCTGCTCGAACACTATGCCGCAAATCGGCGGACCCACCAATTGAATGACACCGTTGACGAACAACGAGATGCCGTAGGACGAGGTGAGCTTCTCCGTGCCCAGCATATCAGCCATGATGACGGCGGTGATGCCGACGTAGATGCCGGACGCGAGACCGAAGAAAGAGCAATAAATGGACAGCATGACGTACGTGTCAGAAGTGGGCAGGATGGCCAAGGAGATCCCGGAGGCGAGCAAACCGCCGACGAAGTACCAATGCTTGGGCATGATCTTGATGTCGGAGAGAGCGGAGCCGCCGATACGGCCTACCAGGTCGAGCATGGAGACGATCGATAGCAACAGCGACGCGTCCCAATTGTCGAACCCTAGGGAGATGGCGTAGGCCGGCAGTAGAATGATGAAGTTGGTGTAGCTGATGGCGTTGGTGGAGTTGGAGATGAGAATGACGAGGTAGATGGGATCTTTGAGCAGACTGAAGTCGAAGAATTTGTTCTGTTGATCCTTCTCATCGTGCTCGCGCTGCTTCTGCTCCGTCGTCGTCGTCGTCGTCGACTTCCTGAACGTGCTGGAAATGGCGTTCAGCGTCAACGTGGACGCGCGTTCCGGGTGCAGAACCGACAGCGTGCTACCGTGGTACGGCGTACTGACGTAGTTGAAAGACGACGCGCTGGGCGAGTGCAGCGGTGACCTCGCCGTTCTGGCGTACTTGCCGGAATCGACCATGGCACCGCCGCGCTCCGGTACGGCGTGCAACGCCGGCGTGCTGTGCATCTGCCCGCTGATCTCGCGCCCGGTGGGCATGCTGATTTTTCGCGTGCGGCCTTGCACCGGTGTGTTCTTGTAATACTCCAGGGCGACGCTCGACGCGCTCTTCGGTACGATCGGTGCAGCCTTGTCGTTTACCGAGTTGCTCAGTGACGCCAGCTGGTCGTTGACCTTCTCCGTCGTTTGCTCGGGGCTGCTGTTGACGGTCACCGACATGGTCTCTCCATCCTTATCGTGCGCGTCGCTGTCGTTTGGAGACCGAGCTGGCACCAGGTGCCACTCCACCGGATGGTACAGAAGCGCGCTCGCCCAGACGTTTAGCGTGACAGCACCCATTACTAACACTGCGCCTCTGTAAACGAACAAGCATCGATCAATTTTATAAATTGTTATTATTAATTGCTAAGGAAATTGACGGTCAACGATAGAACGACAATTACTGTGTCCTTATGTATTACGTGCATAGTAATAACCGATCGAAAAATTATAAATAAGGTCTTGTTTTCAAAGTAATTTTATTTGTTTATTATAGCGTTTATCAGTTTTCGATAAATGTGAGATTAACTATATTTATCCTCTCTTCTCTCTCCTCTTTTATTCTTTATTACTGCATATAAGAAGCCGTACATTATTGCAATTTAAAACGTCTGATTAAATTTATTAAATTAAATTAAATTCGAAACTAAACAATGGTTTATCTGCTATAACGTTCCACGTATAAACCGCTGTTTTTCCAATCTACATTTTTTTTCAAAATGTTTTTACGAGATACACGCAACGTACTTATTTTTAAAAAGCGAAAATTGTTTAAGAACCGTTTATGCCACTCAGATCGCAGAAACTTATTTTGTTCTTGGACAGTGCAATCGTATAGGCTCACCTGTAGCCGTACTCGCGTAGAAGAAAGCCCAGAACGGGCGGAAGAAATATTGAACCTAATGCACTGCCGGATATGCAGAGCCCGTTGGCGAGTCCTCGTAGCCGTACAAAATAAGATGTCACGATATATACAGTCGGAGGAAACGCTAATCCAGCACCCGTACCTACGAATACACCATAACTGGAAACAGAGAGAATTGCGTAAGAAATATTTGCGTGCACTCTTTAGAATAATAATAATAATAATGCGTTGCGCAACGAATATTCTGAATAAATTCGACAGAGTACATAAACTCCAAAAAGCCAATATGTTGAACTTTGCACTTTTTGTATATTTCATACACTTTCTTTTTTTCATATTGTCGCTCATCTTTATTAATGCCGAATGGATTTATCTGAACATTTACATTTTGCCTTTGCAATTCTGCAATTTTTCTGTAATTTCTTCGAAAACTTTTCCAGTGATTCTACCTTATTACAGGATGAAACTGAATACAACGAGCTAGGAGATCATTTATTTTAACAAATCTTGTTTTTACCGAAGAAGAGTTTTTTTTTTTAAGCAAAGATATGATACCGACTGCTTTTATGAAGATATTTGTTGCGCAAATAAACGATCAATCAATTGATCTCTATTTTGTATTAAAAGAGAAAGATATGTTACCTAACGTATAGAAAGGCCACAGAATTCGCGAAATAACTCAGCATCATCCCCGCCGCGGCAAATGTCCCTCCTATTAAAGTTACCGTACGATAGGAATACTTAACCGAAAGTACACTAGAGAGTGGGCCTGGAACGATAAAATATCAATTAAAAATACAAGTAGTGTAACAACAACGGAGAATACACACCTTTATAAGTAGTTTGCTTAGAAACCACTTATAAAGGTGCATTCTCCGTTCTTCGAATTTCGATGAAATCACGCATTATATGATTATAGGTATCGTTCTTGCGAGAAGGCATGCGCAGTCTGGTGTGATCCAGATTCTCGTCAAACATAACACGCGTGAAGATAAAACAAATTAATTCCCATGTTTGCTTGAATTCATCAACGTGATTCATAATAATAATAACGTCTACCCGAGGAAAAACGGGTAAACATCGCACAGACAATACGCAATTAAGTATACGCAAGCATTTCTCGGAATCTTATTCTATCTATCGCAAATTGACCTTTTTCCCTTTACAAAGAACGTAATGTACGTACGTACAAGCCCGCGTATGCATCATTACGTAACGTGAAAGTTAATGTGTTTGCCAATAACTCTAAGAGTTCCTTTCATAAAAATATCGCGAAACTGTAATCGAACTGATGTAAACGCGGCCACGGAGGTTTTGACGTTTCAATAAGGCGCGGTAAACAGAGTGAGACACGCCTAAATATTTAATCGCGAATTATGTAAGCGTGAAACTGGGACAAGTCGCGGGGAAAAGAAAAACGGAACCCTTGACGGGACCCCCGACCTGGGAGAGATGTCTAAAAAAAAAAACCCGTTTTCGGTGGCGGTTTTCTTACCCAGCGAGCTGTACAGGAAGTAACATAGCGACGGTATCCATGCAGCTGCCGACGGCGACGCGTCGAACACGTCGAGGAATTCGACGAACAACACCCCGAAGGACTTGATGGTGCCGGGGATAAGAAGGTTGACCATGACGGCGGCCAGGAGCACCAGCCATCCCCAGCCTCCATCCGGTGGGACTAACTCCTCCTCAGCCTTCTCATCTTTCGCTGCAATATAAAGATAGAGAATCTCTTAATCTTTCAGAATCTCTTGATCTGGAGATCCGGCCAGCCAAGAAATTTTAGCGTTATAACGTGAAAGAATTTTAAAATTAAATTATTTTATTTTTATGTGATTTTATTTTATTTTTATGTGAAAAATACTTCATCTCCGGGCTCTCGATTATTACAAATATTTTAATATGGCTCTCTTGGTAAAAAAAAAAAGAAATTAGGAATCTCTTATTTTAAACGATTCTTTCAAAAATTTTCACGTCGCTTATAATAATACAGAACGTTATTCCTCGCAATACTTTTTCCTTCATTAATCTTATTAAAATTTTTCTTTTTTTTTTGTCAACAAGGCGATAATCCAAAGTTCATTCGGTTGGGATATAATAGTTCATAGCTTCTGGACTTTGTAGTTTCTCAGACCTCCTTTATATGGAGATAAGTAAACGCAAAAGAAAAAAAAATAAAATGGATAATCTTTCTTTGGAAAAATTTCAATTGCTTCATGTTCGTTAAATGCCACGCTCTACTTGTTTTACATAAAGTAAGATCGTTATTTTTATGACTCTTTAAAAAGAAAACGATGAAAAAGAACAGTGGGAATTGCTCCTACTTCCGACAGTCTATCGCACGACACGGTGCGGCTCGGCAAACAAAAGGCGGAACAGAATTTATAACACGGTTTCGTACATTGTTAATCTTGTGTAATCGATTCGCGGGAAGGCTGAGCAAACGACGGCAATCAAGCCGTCAGACAGTAAGTAGATAATGACAGATGTTCTCCGCGGTGTGTGTATTCTGCGGGTGGAACCGCGATAACGAGATGGAAATGGATGGAAATTGTGATATATGCTAATGAGAAACGGTGCGCGCTAACTTCCTCATATTTTGATTTCGCGACGCGAAACCGGCTAAACTTGTTCGGAACGTTCGGCTTAATGCTGACATAGGGGTGAGCACCTGTGCGAGCGTCAACATCGCGGTCGTATAGTCGCCGAATACGATGTATAAAAGTCACGCCGATTCATTCCGGAGGGGAGGAAAGGACGATGTAAGCAATCCCATACAATCATATCCTATTGTGCGTGGACAAAGGAAAGTTGTATAATTTCGCCGACAAAAGAGCAAACATTCATCGGTATGCAGCACTGTGATACCTGCCACTTTACACGCGGAAGTCATTTCCGTTTCTGACGTTTGCAATCTCGCTTATTCGCTTTTTATACCCGGACAATAGATGAATTAAAAACGACTAGCGCGACAGGAATTCAATTAGCGTAAACGAGTTTCTTCCAATTTAGGATCTTCCTATTTTCGACGCGATTCCCTTCTCTTTCTGGATAAAAAAAGATGTTTCATTAATTCTTTTGTTAAAACGTCTTTAAAAAATCGAGAGGTTTTATTTTTTAATGGAGAAAGACGCCGATATAATTTATATATCTGCTTTTTTTAACATTTATATAATTACACATCGGTACGCAAAAATAAAATATAATTTCTTTCCTAATTAAAAAAAATAATAATTCTTTATATACCAGATTTCTGAGACATCGGTATGTCGGGGGAACAGAATAAAACGATAAAAAATGTCAAGCTCTTAGAATGAATTTAATATTGCGGTAAATTTACTCCTATACGAATTTTCTCCAAGGTTTATTCATACATTTAGTATCGAATATCGCTACGAAATTAATTGTGCTTGTAAAAATGTAGATCTTAGGCCGGTATTCATAGTCGGTTCTTACATTCAAGACCATCTTAAGTACAATCTTAAGATGTCATTAACCAATCACAGAGCCGTGTTAGCATCTTAAGATATTACAAGACGGTCTTGAAATAAGATCCGACTATGAATACCGGCCTGTGATTAATAAAGCTGGAAGATTTTACTACGACATCGATGTTGGCAGGTATACCACCTACGATACGTTTTGATCATTACATCAGTTTTACACTCGCTGATCTTGGTTCTTGGCTCTTGGGCCAATTTTTTATCCAACCCTTCTATTTATAAAAGTTCTATCTATAACAGGCGATTCCAAACGTCGTATGATCCCAAAGATGGAGTAACGCGGAAATGGAGAAGGCGAATAAGAGCGAGCATCCAAAGCTATATCCTCATTAGTGGAAAAAGTTGTGGATGCGGACGTGCGGCGAGAAATTTAAGAGATAATGATAGTAACGGTGAGATAATTCGGTGATACGGTCATATCGATGATAAGAGTGGCAACAAAGGTGTGAATCGTGTCGGGCATCATTCTACATTATTTCTGGTACGTATTTCAAATTTAATAAAATATTTCTGACTCGGTTTCGATTTAAAAAGAGAAAAACGCGATCTGTTTTTATACGTATAACTTATTCGCGAATTATTTAAGTTTATTATACCAGACAAGTTACGTTATAATTAAATTACGCAACGTTTTGTATATTATTATTTTATATGGGTTACATTGGAATTAAATTATAACGTAACTTAAAATAATATACCTTAATACAAAATGTTGCGTACACATTTAATGAAATAAAACGCGATATACAAACGGAAGTCATGTGATGCTTAGATCGAATTTAAAAAAAATATAAACTTTGCTTAGAAGAATAACGAAAAACGCGCAGATGTCCAAGCGAAACAACAACATGCCTTTTGAACTGCGCTGGAGGTTATCAGTAAACACCAGCTGGCGTTAGCAAAAATCGTTACGTATCCGAAAGATAAAAGAGGATATCTCGAAACGGCGTGAACAAACGTCCCCGACAAGCTTCCTCGTGATTCCCATAATTCATCCTCTGTAATTGTCATTCCGTGACGTTTGCAATAACGTCAGCAGATACAGCTTTCTCCTCCATACATTGAGATCATATAATGGAATATTAATGTCTCGATTAATCTAAAATGTATAGTCGAAACTCCTCCCGTGAGTTTCGACTATATTTATTTACATACATTGAGATCGCAATATTAATTAATTAAAATATTCCTTTCGTAATATCAAATACTAAAATAAATGTACATATAAATAAACCGTAGAGAAAATTAATTCGCCACGACCCATTTAATTTTGAATAACGCCTCGCGACTCGCAATCTCACGCGGAAAACCGCGATGGGCCGCGTAAAAATATCACGAGGCCGGATGCTGTCCGGGGATTGAAAGACACATGATTTCCTGGATTTCCCTGAAAAATCAGCCGACCAAGGTGCGGAAAGAGCGAGCGGAGTCGCTTCTTCCGGGCTTCAATCGTCGACAATCGGCTGACTCACCTGCAGGCCCTGGTTCTATATAACTTCCTAACGACAATGTTTGTCGTTAATTAGCGATTGTCGCTCGCGCTAACGATACTGTAAGGACAAAGCTGGTTCCGTAAACTCGGGCCAACGATATCGTATCGATATACAAAATGCGGTACCTGGCTTACTGGTCCCATTTCGACGGTCTTTGTTGTCATCGGGGCTCTGCGACACCGGCCTGTAGTCGCCCTTCCGGGGCTTATTGCCCGGGCCGAACTTGATGTTGATCCCATTGTCCTGATCTTGAACCCGTTGCATCGTCATCGACCTTTAATCGCGGCTCTCTCGCGCGCGCGCACGTACCGTACACACTTAAATGGACACACGCGGGTTGTCTGCATACGCGGCTGGGGGAGATAAAAAACGCGATTGCCGCCACGGGGAGAGCGAACCTAAACGTGTGCGTGCCTCTATGCGTATATGTACAAGAGACCAAACACAGTAGCGCGAAACGACAACAGATAAATGCAAAACAGAGAGGGAGAGAGAGAGACACGCGGGGAAAATTAGAGATGACGAAACAGAGTGAAGAGAGAAAGAGAGAATACAAGGGCAATAGCCGTCCCGCTTTCCTCTTTCCTTCCTTCGGCTGTCTGCCCCTTCTCCAGGACAACGCGCTCTTTATCACTCGTTGCACGCGCGCGCGCGCGTGTATGTGTATTCACGGTGGCGTAGGTGGATGAGAGACACACCGCGCTCTGACCGCGGTGACACGACGATGACGTCGGGGAGGCGCGCGTCAATGCTCCGCGCGGAAACGGCGCTGCGAGACCTCCTCGCTGATGGGCCGTGTCATGAACCCGAATCCGTGCCCGTGCCCGTGCGTGCCAGCGACGGCGTCGTCGTCGTCCTCCGTCCTCGTGCTCCGCTTCCACCGCCTACCTTCGTCTCCGCGATCATCCGCCGCCTCCGTTCCAGTCATAGACCCCGTCGGGCGCTGACCGTCGATACCGCCACCCACGTCCGTCGGCTACCTCCTCCTCGTCCGCTTCCTCCTCCTCCTCCTCGTCCTCGTCGTTCTCGTCGTCGTTGTCGTCTAGGCGCATAGAGAACGCGGAGCGACAGCAGGGCACGCACATGAACCTCGACTCGCCCTTCAGACCGTCGCCGTCGCGGTCATCCTTCCGCCGCGTGCGGTGCGGTGTATCAACGCGCGGGGCCTTTAACCACGCACTCTCCACGCTCGCGCGACACGCGTTACGATGACGTGCGTCACGAGCCGACTGATCAGCGATCAGCTGTGTGTCACGACGCAACCAGGGGCGGCCCCGAGGATCCGCTCCGCGTACCTTCCCCCACTCCCGTGCGCGCGCGCGCGCCCCTCGTACCTCGGTCTCGCCGTCTCTCTCCTTCCCTCGGCGACGGAGGAGGTGCGGATCAGGGCAGATTGTGCAGGAAGGTTCCCCTTCCCCTCTTATTGACGGAGCGCACTCGCCGCACTCTACTCCTCGCAGTCCCCACTACGCGCTCAGCGGAATAGACCGCCACGGATTCATTTGGCCGATTTGGCGTTTTCTCTCTTTTCTTTCTTTCTTTCTTTCTTCCTCTGTCTCTCTCTCTCTCTCCTTCTTTCATCGCGAACAGCTATCTCTGTCTTTCTTTTTCTTATTTCCAGATGGTACGCGAGCAATAAGGACGCGATTTATGCTCTCCCGGGTGCGGTAAACGTTGACGTGCAGGTCAGGACTGCCATAGAGACCCTTTTGTTCGCGACTTAAGGGAAATCAAAGTGGGACGTAAAGTTGCATCGTGACGCAATTTCGCGACGATTTAAGTGGAATGGTATTTCGCATTTATTTTGCATTACGTTACTTTTTATCCTATATCTTATCTCGCAAGTAAACGCCCATTGATAATTACAGTTGCTGATGAACGTTAATCGTGTGGATTTAACTGGGATGATGCGCAAGGTGATACTTTGAGACGAGGAAAACGCAAGAGAGAAATGGTAGAGATAGCGACTGATGACGGGAAAAGCGAGCTTCATTAATGTCCGGAGTCTCTTGCGTGGGATTAGCGAAATTTGAATTAAACCCTGAGAGAATGTTATACATATAGTTCTGCCATTTCAATGCCAAAAGGAGGGCAATGGTACACAGGAGAGAATGTTATATATGCAGTAGAATCTAAAGTGGTCAAAAGATGAGGTAAAAAGATGTTTATAAAAGATAATTATACAAAAAAAATGCAGTTTTCTCTAAAACATTTAAAGTCATATCTTTCATACAATTATCCTTTTTTTATTGAAATATAAAAAGATAAATCTTTTTCGCACGGAAAAAAGAATTAGCTACTATAGCAAATTATTTAGTCGTAAAATATGGATAACTAACATTTTTTGCAACGAGAGCTATATTTTTTGCAGCGAGAGCTATAATTTAGTAATAATTGCAAAAAGATTTTGCTACTATTGGTAAACTATGGCTCTCGGTGCAAAAAATTTTAATTATCCATATTTTACGAGTAGATTCGCTATAGTTGCTAACCCTTTTTTCCCGTGCGGCGTTTCGCAATATATTGAATATTAATATTTTTATTGATAATGCCAAAGTTCCTTCAGTGCTAAAAATGAAGCTTTTTAAATAAATAGATAAACAGGGCCATTTAGAAATTCTTACGTATTGTAGTTATTAATTTTTAAATAAAAATAGAGTCGTTAAAAAATTTCTGTCTTTAAAAGTTTACGACCGATTAAAAACTGCCTCTTTTGAATGTTAATTGCCTCTTGTTTTTCAAAGATTGCTGTAAAAAGATCTTTAACGTTCTGAAGTGGTGACAATAACATACACATGTACGGACTGTGGCTTCCGAGAATCCACTTCACATTTCTGAGGAACCACGAACGGGACACAAAGGAGCGAGCCGCGGTAAATTTCCATGGAGCGCAGCCTCCTTCTATGAATCTTTTCCATAAGTATTATTACAGCTAACCGCGCAATTAAATCAATTCCTCATCTCGTTTCGAACACAACAAAACTATAAAAAAGGAATTAATTAAGGATTAACGATGAAAATCCTATCAGTTGTCTTTAACTGAATTTTGTAAGACAGCTCTGCAAGAAATGAGTGAAGGAAAAGAAAGCTGTGCACATGAAAGCAAAAAGAGTTGAGAGATCCAAGAATAACGTATTTCGTGATTTCTTTAAGGAATTGAGTTATGGAATTGATGTCTTTATGAAATAATTTATGGAATTCTTTATGAAATTGATATTTCTTTATAGATTTTGGACGTTTGAACAAACTCGTGGTCTCTCGTGTCATCTCTACCTTTTGTGACGCGGTATAGACGAGCATCCGCGAGCGAACGCGAGCATCCGCGAGTGCCAAAAATTACTTCTCGTAACCTTCGCCTTCGGTGTCACACCACGTGCGCCGGCCGATCGCAAATTTCGTCGCTTCTCTGTCCACGTCGACGTTCGACCTTGTGAGGTCCATAGGCGCGAAGAGGAGAGCGATAGGAGAGAGCGAACGTAACGGATACCGGCGAATGGAAAATTTACGGTGGAAGCACAAGCAGTATAGGCGTGGAGGCGTAGGATTTCGCGTGCTGTAGCATTAGTCATCCTTACCACTCGTGAATTTGATATTTATCGCCCAGATCGCGCATGCCGCTGACCGTCCCAGTTCGCGAACTATTAAACGGATGGCACATGAGATATTAGCGATTACACAATTCTTTATCCAGTAGTAGAATTATTTAAAAAAAAAGCTTTATGTGAATTATAAGTTATTAGAATTATATGGAATTTATTTTTGAATAAGAAAACATTTTCTTCTTTTATAAGTAATTTATTCTAAAAATGCTTATTAGTATCGGTATTATTAAATTGATTATTAATTTAATCATGTGATTTTGACTTTAGTTTGAGATTGCGTTTAGAGACCGACAGTAATCGGCGCGTAGTTTGCTAAGTGGAAAATGTACATTACGCGGAAAATATGTTATTAGGCACAAAAGATCCAGATCGACCATATTAGCACATTTTCTGTTTAGTTAGGTTGTTATCATAACGGTCAAGTCTGACTTATTATTAAGTATTCTTTTATTATTTTAGCTTGAAAAGAAAGTATACATATAATAAGCGTATGTGCGGGATGTCCCATCTTAATCAATATGTTTGATTATCTTTGATAGATATTAAATTACTTTTGGAGATTGAATGATAGACAGATGCATTTCTTCTGTTAAGAAATCTGGTTTTGTGTCAAGGATTTAAAATCATTTCAAGATCAACTTAATCTTTTTTTATAGAAGGCCGTAATTTTTTTGCAATTCTACAGTTATAATTCTTTTCATAACGAATTTGTTGAACTGTACGTTCAACGTTCAACGTTCCAGGTCACGCGAACTTGACAGAGACTCGATGCTTGGCCCTATTTACAGGACTAGTATTATTTAATCTGCATAACTAATCGATATTCAGTACGTAACATAGTAAATATTTAAATTGATGTCCTCGCACGTAACCCGATTTCTGAAGGATTGTAACACATTTACTAGCATAACGAGATATTTCAGCGGGTTAATTGTAATTCTACGTTGCATTTCCATCGGGATAGTAAGCGATGGATTGTATTATTATCATGACGGATTAATTGTATCTCTTAATTAAATATCCCTAAGAAAAGAAATTCAGATGTATGAGATCTGATGATCTTGACGACCACACAGAATATGGTATACCTGTACATCACGATTATAGGATACAATAAACATTAAATAAGATGTTTTTTGCGCGATTGATAGAGTAAGTCTATATACAGAGTCTTCACAAAAAGATACGTGACACTTTTAATTACTATATCTTACTTTCCTATTCATCGAATTAAAATCCATGTGATTTTCATTCATGGAGATATCTGAAGGATCTTGTATTTAATTATTAAAAAAAATAAAAATAAAAGATATATATCTATTTATACTTTTATTTTTTTATATGAAGAAAGTTTACTGAAACCGCAAAATACTTTGTGATAGATTTCATTGTATCTCTCTGTAATTTTAACAGTTCTTCTCGACAAGGCTGTTTCATTACTGTACTATAAACGTCTAATCCGTTAATACATTATGGAGTACGTAATCTACATAGGTCACACGTAAGAAAAGCAGTGCACGTAATCTGCATCACTATAGATAAGCGATTATACTGCTCACGTATATTTACGTTTATAAAACGACGTAGATAATTCGTGATTATCGCATAGCGTGTTAAATGTGAATAACCGCCGAGTTCTTATCTGCCGATTTTAAGAAATTTGATAGCTTATTTACGCGCCTCTTAAAATGTTGTATTATTCCACGACTCGAGTGTTTCCCGTGTTGTTCGACTGTGAAAATCTCTGGAATGCCAAATGGTGCGCGTCTACAATGAAATAATTCTATTATGAATTAGTGAGATTCAATGCGGCGCGTCAATAAATCAATAATTGTAAATTGTAATAAGAAACATTCTTAGAGATAAAAGATCTTCGTATAAATCAATAAATTAATTGATCGGATAAAGAAATATGTTTGTCGGTCGTTTAGTTCCCGCTTGTCGAATTGATAGAATATCATTAGCTGTTAATTTCAGATAAACGTTAACGTATTTTTATTCAAGGTTTGAAGAACGATATTCTAAGAAAGAATTCTTAGGAGGGTATCAAACTCATATGTTATCGATTAAACGAATATTTAACGAAATGACGAAGTTAATTAACTGATAAACGTTATATGTTATATCATCTTACTCGCACTAGGCTCACGTGATAAAATCATCTGAAAGATAGATGATCGAAAATAAATTCGCATGCCAATTATTGTATAACAATAATTATATAATTATACGAGACTTGCGTATGAGTCTTGTCATACCACACATAGGCTGCGGCTCCACTTGACGCTGCAAATGCTTCGAAGCATTCCTTTTCTCCTTTCTTTCACTGAAGAAAGAAGGAGAAGAAGAACGCTTCAAATGGACCGCAGCCATAATCGATGTGTCAATTAAAGATTAAGATATCAATATGTAAAGAGAGAAGATTGATTAAAGTAATTTGCGATTTATTACCTTACACGCCACATCTTTATAATTCTTTTATCTGCAAAAAAATAATTATGTAAATACAGCGTTTTGTGCATTACGTCAACGTTCCACGAGATATCTCTTTTACTCTTTCCTTATTTCACCCTGTGATACGTTGAAGTTTCCGCATAAATGTGTTTATGGAAAGTTTCGCCATTCGCCATAAAGTCTTTCGATAAGCGCAAGTTCGATAAACAATGGTTTAGTGCCATAACGCCGTCGTATCGCGCGGAATAAAATAGAAGTCTCGTGACTCTACGACTTAGTTAATTAGCCGTGGACCAAGTGGAAGTGCACAAACAACAGACACGGGACAACGCGTGGTTACAGCACAAATTCATTCTTATTAAGCATCAATTGGTGTTGTGATGACAATTGGTGTTGCGAAGACAAAGAACGCCGGAGTCAGTGAGCGCCCTTGCGCCCACGATGCGCTCTCGACGGTGCATATATTGTTTTCTGAGCTAGAGTTAAATTGAGAGAATAGCAACGTGAAGAATATAAAGAATATTATAACGCAGGATGCTGCTTTCATTTTCTATAAGCTGTTCTCCTTTGACGTTCCAATTTTTTATGTTAAACGTAACTTAGTAATAATAAACGAAAACAGAAAGTAAAGTGCTGTTAAATAAATTTTAGTCTAAATTGAAGAAAATAAGAAATAATAGATACTAATTGTAAGTTACAACTTATTCACAGAAAATTGGATCATTCCATGTATATATACAATCACATAATCAAGATATCTCTTAAACTAATGATTTTTTCTAAAAACGCTGCTACTCTTTATTACAGAGTAAAAATTTGCATCGAATGATGTTTTAAGAAACATAGTTTTATTTAAAAAAAAGATATAATTACATTTTACAGCTACATGCACGCGCACAAATGCTATAATGGTGACAAAGTTAGAGCAGCTATATAGAGAGACTATATTTTGCTTTTCCATATCTCAAGTTGTTATGGCAACTCAATCCGTCAGAAGATTAGATTGCCGTAATACCCTATATATATAAAATTCATCCATATACACGTAATATAATTGATCTGTTTTGAAATTTGTTTGAATTTTTCAATTTTTGAAGAAAGAAATAAATTGAGTCAACGAATTACGTCTCGATATTAAATAAAATTATTTGTTCATTCAAACACGTAGCATTTCTGCAATCCGGAAAAAGTATACGATTGTTTCTTGCGACACTCCGTTTTATTGCAACTAAAGCTATGCGCTAGGAAGGGATGAAGAATTAATTAGCGGAGATCGTCCATGAAATTCCTCGCAAGCGCGCGTTTAACAAACGTTTTCTTTTTTTTTTGCAACGTTCTAATTGCTTTGTTCTTAGAAATAATCTGCAGTAAGTGCACGTTTTCTCGTCGAGAGGACCGTTATCAAAACAGATTATCTATATATTGCGAAATGTGCGACGTCTCGTTGTATCGCCTCAAGGAATCATTAAGTACATTATTTATGATTGGATTGACGACGACGTTGCGTTGATTCGAATCTGCGAAGCTTTCGGTTATCAGCATAATTTGTCGAACGACCGACCTCGATTAATTCACACAAATCAAGTCGTTAATTCGAAGAAGGAAACGAGCGTGTTTTCTGCATAAATGTGTAAGTCCGATGCAAGTACAGCATCGTGGAAAAGAATAACTACTAATTTCTTTAAAAAATCAATATTTTCTGAATGAGTAGCATTAAAGCACCATTAACTTGATTAAATTAAACAATATTCCTCAATTAATTCTCCAATGTACTTTGAATTTCAAAATTTGCATTGGAAAAATAAGAGAATAAGTTGAAAATAGCAAAAATACAGTGACTTTCCGTATTTTTATAAGAGAAAGAGTCGGTAAATTTCAAGGTAATAAACAGAAGGAAAATAACAAGACGAAGAGTCCGTATGACGGGTTTAAAACAAAAATTTGGCTCGACACCGACGGAGCGATATGAAAGAAAGGTTTACTATATGCGGTAAGAAGGTGAAACACTTATTTGAAGCATGTCGTAAGGTACCTTATGGAGGATTGCGCCACTATGAAGAAAAGCCGTAAAAAAATACACGCAAGTGTCCACAAAGCGCGTGTTTTACGAGTTACTCAGGCCACCGTTGCGACTGTGGGAGCATTCTCCATTGATATCGGCCAACGTCAATGCGCGCTATTTATTGCGTCAGTCGCTGCTGTTTACATGTTTAATTTAGCTCACCGTTTCTTAATCTTTTTCGCTATACGAGTGACGAAGTCAACATGAGCAAAAAGAATGAATTTATCATTCATCGGACATTTTATTTTTATATCTTTAAAGGTAATTCAAGACGTTGAGATATGTTGTCTACTTTTGAAAGAATTTAGTTAAATAAATTTATTTCACCTAGTATAGGGAATATACAGGTACGATTTATGTCGCCACACTAGTAAACACGTATATATATGTATACACATATATAGGCTAAGGAATGTACAATTCCAACAGCTCTAAGCAATTGTGATTACAATAGCATAATAATTCCCTTAAAATATTTATAAACTAAATCTATTTTTTGCTGCTATCACATTGCATAATTAAACCACTTCCATTAGTGCTTCAGTTTAGTTGGTTGCCTCATCCTTCTCTTTAGTTTTTGACTGTCGTTTGATGCGATAATCTGACAGAGCGGCCTTAATCGCGTCCTCGGCAAGCACTGCAATTCGCAAAAAAAAAATTGTATCAAGATTACAAAATCCTGATGCTGCATCCGATACTTTATCAGATTTTTACATTTTCTAACGTAGTGCATAACGTTTGTCTTATTCTAGAAATACAATGTTGCTGCGATGCTTTAATTCAAAATTAGTAAAACAAAAATTTCAGTAAGAGTGTACTCACTCGAACAGTGCAGCTTGACAGGCGGGAGGCAAAGTTCTTTCGCAATGTCGGTATTTTTCAATGACAGTGCTTCATCTACCTAAAACAAACAATTTTAACAGCAAGTTAGATCTCTATACTTCCAACGCATTTCATGTGTAGGTGAACACGAAAAACTTGGAAAAAATTTGTTAAAGATTTACAGGAAAATCATGAAGATAACGGCATTTGCATTGTATTTGTAAATTATAGCCATATAAAATGGCATACGTATCAAAACTTTACTCGTCCAAAGAAGCATTATAAATTCTGGATTTAAAAAATCTCACCGTTTTTCCTTTAACCCATTCCGTTGCTAAGGAACTCGAGGCAATAGCAGAACCACAACCGAAAGTCTTGAATTTTGCATCGATTATTTTGCCACTTTCATCGACTCTGATCTGAAGTTTCATCACATCGCCGCAAGCAGGTGCTCCTACTAGACCTGTCCCAACATGCTCGTCATTCTTATCCAAGGAACCAACATTTCTGGGATTCTCGTAGTGGTCCAGTACCTGTTTAATCATAAAATTAATTAGAACGTTCTCTTTCAATTTAGAGACATTATAATGTATATAAACGATATGTATTGTGTAACTAGGAATAATTTATGACACAATTAACACATATAAATACTATATAAATTAATTATTTAACTCATTTCATGCAATTATTCGCATATCAAAGTTTCATGTAAATACTTGTGTAATAAAACAATAACATAACCGTATGAATATTTTAGATAAAACATAATAAATTATTTTTCCTTTGGTAAATAGAAGTTATTATATAGCAATAATTTTATTTTAAGATAAAATTTTATCAAATCGAACTTCAACATCGTAATCGACTGTGACATATCCATATAATTTATGAATATCGTGATAAAACAAAAATATTAAAACGACAGTAGCAACGCGAACGCGATATATATATGTATATCGCACATACGCACACATATAACCAAACATTACGCCATATTACACCACAAAAATAACCAGTTTATGTAGCTCAATATGGTAACTGCGGAATATCTATTATAATAAAAAAAAAACACAATTTTTTATAAAATACGCACACAGCTTTCTATATAAATAAGACTCTAATGTAAATATCATGCTTGCGCCGGGGGTACTCGACACCAAATAAATCACGAAACGTGATCGTGTAAAACACGGCACATCGAACAAAACTACGCTTGAAATTTACGTTTATGTCGCGATCGTTTAACGCCGAGCGCAACAGATAGGATTATCATTATCAGTAAGACTTGTTAAATATCAACAATAATAAAAGAACAACGTGCGGGACTGATGCGATTGGAGGTTAGGATCGACGATGACGAGCAAGGGAATAAAAATGACGGTAATTACGTTTGCGTGATAATACAAGGCTGGGACACTCCGTGAGACAATCTTGGACGTCGCGCCGATTCCGACGGGCAATGCCCGGAACAATGCCATCTCGCTTTACGCAAACTTTATCATGAACCGCACCGATCAATTTCGATACACACGTAGAAATAAAGGAACGACGGACTACGGAGACCCAGGGCGGGGGGACTGGGGGGGAGGGGAAGCCACTTCGATCACGTGACACTTTTTGGTGCCGCGTCACGTGGCCGCGTTCGCGATTGGCTGAGCTTGCGCAAGCGCAATAGCGCGGTCATGCGCGAAGGCCAGGATGCCCATTGCCTGTCACTGCACGCTGTTTACGGAGAGAGCGTATGCGGGAGTGACGGCTGACGGCTAACGGTTTTCAGCCCAAAAATTTGAGACGCCAACGCGAAACGAGAGCGCACGTATACTTACGCGTCTGTCCCCCTGGCTCTCTCGCGAGAGGGATGCTCGACGAGCACCGTCGCGGCGAGACCGTGTTGTGACTTGTGAGCTGTGAGCGCGCGATGCCTCGAGCGACCGACGCCGCCGGATCGTTGTTGCACGCGTCACGGTGATCCAGTTCCTGGGACATGTGCCTCGCGGACGGCGCGCTCCGTGAGGTGGTCGGTATTCGTCGATAACGGACGATCTTTCACTAGCGTGCGGCGTGCCACGAACGAAAGGATGGCCAGCCGGGATCCGTCGGTCTCCTCCAAGATCGCGGACGACCACAGCGTCGAGGTTAGCGTCCAGGTCGGGGCTGTAACGGGATCCGTTTTTCGTTCTGAGACCTGCGTCCTTATTCCGCTTTTTCGAATCGCAAGAAGCGCGAGAAGGTCGTAGCCAGAAGAAACGGAGCCGCGTGAAGCGTGACCACGGAGCTCTTTAATGTCTTTCCTTACTCCGGAAATTTACGATATTTTTGCTGTAGAATCTTGCATCGGAGCGGTTAATTCGGATGTCTTCGACTATTTTAGATTTAGGATCTTTATATTGAAGTGTCTCGACGTTAAATTAATTTTTAATTAATATTCATTATACTGCTGTTAATAATTAGGTTTATTTGTTATATCTAAATAGAACATCAGCATTTTATCTTATTAGATAATAAAATTCTAAAGTGTACATTAATCGATAAGATTGATAGATAACAAAATTATATAATTAAAATTAATCATTTTATTAAATAATATGTTACACAAAAGAAGTGCGTTATTGCATGCGTATTAGAGTGATAGACAAGTTGTCATTTAAGAATCACAATATTATAATATAACATTTTGTAACATCATTAGAGTGGTAAGTAAATGGCCCATTATTCTTTTTATTGTAGACATTGGCGGAGGTTTTCCGATGTTTCATTTGCATGGAAAAGCTGAGAGATGCGCATCTCTGTCCTCACTGCAGCAAATTGTGCTGTTATACCTGTATTAGAAGGTGGCTCACGGAGCAGCGTTCTCAGTGCCCTCATTGTCGGGCCTCTCTCCACTTACACGAACTGGTAAATTGTCGTTGGGTCGAGGAAGTGACCCAGCAGCTTGATACGTTGCAAGCTGTTTGTATATCTAACTTTCGACATGATGATTCCAGCAGAGACAGGTGTGAAACAGCATATTTTGAATATTTTGAGACATATGTGCTTTTGTTATAAATTTAGAAACTTGAATATTTGTTGATAATGCCTATTGATTTTTTATTCTATTGATTTATTTGTTAACAACACACGTCTTTTTGCAATATGTTTGTGCAATGTTTGTATATTTATTTATTATTGTTACAGATGCGCGGCGCATCAGGAAAAATTATCTGTGTACTGCTGGACCTGTCGCAAATGCATTTGTCATCAGTGCGCCCTTTGGGGAGGCACCCACTCGGGACACACCTTTAAACCTTTGGAAGATGTTTACGAGCAACATGTTTCACAGATAAAAACAGAAGTAGGTCAGTTAAATAGACGGCTCGTGGAATTGATCAGTCTTGTGCAAGAAGTGGTAAGTTGTGTTTGACAAAAACTTTAAATTCTTCGAAAAATTTAAAATATGGCAAAATACAGACGTGAATTTACTCTTCTACGTTTTATTATGCTCGTCTGTTACTAGGAGAGAAACGTTGAGTCAGTGAGAGCCGCAAAGGACGAGAGGGTCAGAGAGATAAGAAACGCGATAGAATTAATGATAGCTCGTCTGGATTCGCAGTTGAAAGCCAAACTGCTGACCCTGATGGGTCAGAAGAATTCGTTGACTTTAGAAACCGAGCAATTGGAGGCTTTATTACAAGAGGTGGAATATCAGTTGCATACGTGTACGCGCTCCGAATTGATTGTTAAAAGTGCCGAGCTTTCTCGCAAGATACATCAAGTTCGCAAGAAACCAATGACGAGTTTCGTTACTGCACCAGTACCTGCAGATTTTCATAGGTAAGATTTCTAAAGAAATAATATAATGATTAATTATACATATATGTGAGAGAGTTTTACATCTTAATTATAACAATTAAGGATTTTTTAAGTATTAAACATGAAACATTTTTTTTTCCATTTCAGTGAAATCGTGCCGGGCTACGACAGCGCGACATTTGCTATGCAAAACTTTACTCAGCTTCAACTGAAAGCCGATCCGGTATATTCTGCGCCGTTGCATGTGAACGGGCTGTGCTGGCGATTGAAAGTATATCCGGATGGCAATGGAGTTGTACGCGGAAATTATTTATCAGTATTTTTAGAGCTCAGCGCTGGATTGCCAGAGACTTCAAAGTATGTGAATTCATAAATGATATGACTTGTATGTTCTTTGTAATGTAAATTGTACTGAAAATGATGGATTATGCGTTTAAAAATATGGTACACGATAAAGGCTTGTTCTATTTTTATAGGTATGAATACAGAGTTGAAATGATCCATCAAGGCTCTCGTGATACGAGTAAAAATATCGTTCGTGAATTTGCATCCGATTTCGAGATTGGCGAATGTTGGGGATACAACAGATTCTTTCGATTAGACTTACTCGCAACGGAAGGTTACTTAAATACAGACTTGGATACCCTTATATTGAGGTAGGTTTGTACTTTTTAGAACAGTACTGTTTAATCAATGTCATAAAGCTGAATTTAATCTGAATTTTTTCGTTTTTCTTTTTAAATATTTATACTTACATGAGAAACTTTATCTTTGTATCTTTTGTACAGATTGAAATTACAATCATTAGGGACACAATATTTAATTACAAGGCACTAAATTATTTAATACTTAATATCAAATTATATATAATTATTTAGTATCGTATTGACAGATTTCAAGTACGACCACCGACATTTTATCAACGCTGTAGAGACCAGCAGTGGTACATTAGCCAGTTATTGACAGTCCAAAATCAATATATCACTCAGATCAACGAATTGAAGGAGGTAAATTGTTTAAAATAAAACCTGTATTACAATTATAAGGTTTTATCACAAATATACACGTATAACTAAAAAGACATATGACCTAGTTCTGATATCTTGTACGTACCTTTATGTTCTATATAGTTCAATACTTATCGATCTTAGAAAAAAAATTTTAGAACACTATTTACACATAGAAATATTTTATGTTAAATAAATACTTTATTTATATACAGAGACTAGCGATAGAAATTTCTCGTAATGCCATGGCGGCTACCAGAGCTACTAGTGGAACTACGATGTGCGGAGCAACTGTAAATGGATCGTCATTATCTACGCAGCAACAGCAGCAGCAACAGGATGTAGCCGATCCAATGACCAATTCAAGTACGACACGAACAATTGATGCGTATCCCACTACGAATGGGACACCAGTGAGGTATCAATGCTGCAAAATTTATTTAAGCAAATTACATCGGATTAGTTGAACCTTCATAAAAGTATTTGTAGGCATTCTATAATAATAAAGCGTACTTTTTTTGCGATAGATCGATCCCGAGTACGCTTCCTAGTGGTAATGGCAATTCGACGATACTAAACGATCAATTGATATCGATGTGCAATCTGGGCGAACTCTCGGGTACGCATACCCTCGGCTCGACGTTGTCGAAGACGCCGTTGAAGACACACCGTGCCAACAGCAATCTGAACATTATCGAGGCTGAGAATACTTCATCGCCACGCCGCGCCAACGACATGTCGTTCGGGGACTGTCAAGCCGCGGGTATTCACCTAGTTTCCTCGTCGTCGCCTTATTCATCGCCCAATGTACTCGGTCAGCAGCCGCTGAATCTACTATCCAAAAATAGCGCCAGTGATCCTCTGCTGTCTGCATCGGCATTATCGTCGATGACAAGTAACGCGCATCGAGTCAACGGTTCAAGCGTCGCGGAGAGCGAAGCCGCGCAACGTTGCGCCAATAATGCGTCGCCAGGAGAGTGCCAGGCTGCCAATACTGGCGTCCACTCCTCGTCATCATTTTACTTGTCCCCGACGTTGAATCTCTCGTCCAGTAGTAGCAGCAGCAGCAGCGACAGTGGCGTGAGTATAGTCTTTCTACTTTTTCTATTAGTTCTTTGACTTATCGAGAATAATCCTTTGTCGTTATGCTTGCAGGAATTAAGCGAACATGATATTTTTATGGACGAATGCGAACACAATGAACCCAACATCACGCTTTTGGATATGACAAACGACGAAAATGATGTAGATGACGAGACGATGTCAGGTATGCAAGTTATATACACATGTATATATGTTATACATATATATGTATGTAAGATATAATCTACAGATAGAAAATAACGTTATATCTTAATATAAGTATATTTATATTGAAAAAGAAAGGCATTAAATAAGACTAAACAAAGACTTTAAGATTCAAAAATAGTTGACTAAAGTAATGTGCGATTGTATAAGTCTCAATAATTAATGAAAGCTATAGAGAGATGTATGTTCGGGAAGTTAAGCGATGTATTGCAAAATTAGGTACTAGCTCGAATAGAGATTCATCCAGAGATGAGCAAGGACGACAAATGTGCACAGTCGATAGAGATATTGAAAGCGACAAACCCACGAGTCAAAGACAAGATGAAGAATGTGTGAAAGAAATACCTACGTCCGTCATTCCTAATAGCTTTTATGCAACCTCGTAGGATCCTATCTTTATCTCAATATCCAAATCCGATTTACTTTACACAATTTAAATCACTCGTATCTAACTGTTTCCTATGTATGTACGTATATCCTATATGTAATTAACACAAATATTGTAAATTTTTAAAATTTCTCTGTTTTGTCATTAGTAAAGTTATCTTCATTCCAATTTTATAGATACTCTGATGTCATGTACGTTTCTGATGTGTACTTACATGAAAGAACACTTTTATTTATGAAAACTACTTAATTACTCGGATGTAATAGAGACTTATTTATCAAATATTAAATTGTAACTGTGTTTAACATTATTATATGTTTCTAATAAATATAGCAATTTAATATTAATGCATTATAAACATTCGTTAAAACGATTCTGTATTATAAATGAAAAGGTATATGTTAAATATGTTTGATTAATGTAACTCTACTTACAATAGTAATAAATCAGAATATTTTTAGGGGAGAACGATGTTGAAGTTGCGGAATCTCTTGCATCATGGATTCAAAACAAGCAGCGTACAAAGCAACAAAACAATAGGGATACCGTTACAGATACATGCAGGTATATTTATTAAAATTATAATATTAAAACAGCAGGGAAAAGGGATATATGAATCACATAATGCAAATATTATAGAAATAATTATTTAAATGGAATTACAATTTACAAGAAGTAGATGACTGATTTTATATAAATTTATATTTTTAATTTATCACAAGAATAAATTGGTAGAAATCTAATCTTACACTGATGTAAAAATAAAAAAAAGTGTTGAATATTATAGAGATAGGTGACTATGATTTTTATGTGAAATATTTATCTTTTATTATCATATCAAATTTAATTCAATTATGGGGATAAGAGGAAAAAAAAATTCGTAATTAAAACAAAGTGATCGTAAAATGACTCAATAATAATAGAATGTGTTGTGATTTAGATTGAGGGAAATAATGCTGCTGCACTTGTTCGAGATGCAGGATAGAAATTCCGTATGGAACTCTTTATGCCTTGGTCAACAAGCGGACGAGAGTTGCGATTCCAGGAGCTCGCTCACGAGTCTACGGCGTCACAGTTCCAGTCCGTTGCACTGCAACGCTCCAATGCAATCTAACGCGACGGCGGTATATTCGCACAAGCACCCTGAACTCGACACTGCCGCTTGCAATGATTTAAATTTAAGTACTGACAACAAGCATCCTAGTTGCGCCTCTTATCATTCCCAGCGGCAGGCGATTTGCAGCACTATGTCCAAAATGTCCAAATTGAACCTACTGCCGAGCATCTGCCAATCGGAGTTAGCTGCGACAATGGCTTCTGGCAGTCAAATAACCAGGTCCGAACCAGCGACGCGTTCCAATTCAATAGACTGCGAAAACGATATCCCGAAGCTGCCAATAGCTAATAAAATCAGTCACGATGTGGAGTCGTCTAGATTGCGTTTAGATCTAATAGTCCCAAACGGTGAGTAAAAATATATTAGAGGAAATAATATTGAATCGTAGTAATTCTCACAGCAAATGTGAGGATATAATATGTGAGGACAAAATAATTGGTGTAAAAGTATAATTGTGCAAGCGTACTGTTTTTCAAGACTTCAGAAAACTTAAATCTGATAATAGCTTCTGCAGCAAATAATTTAATTTTGGATATAAAAATAGCGGAGAGTCTATATTGCTATAGTTTTATAATGTTATGAACCTACGCTATTTGATTTATGAACAAGATTATGAAAGAAATAACAATAACATATTGTTTCAGTACTCCTAGACAGTAATAAAATCATGTCAAAGCATTTATTGTCTCGGCGCCAATCGTCTCCGAGCTCATCCACTAATTTGAATTTAATAAATGACAATAGCAAGATATTCGAGTTTGACCAATTATTCGAAGCCATTCAATTGTCGCCGGGTTCGCAAAAAGATGTGACTGCTTGTGGTGCAAAATCAAGGTAAGATTTCGATATTAATTAGCCGTAAGAAGATTAGAATAAAGATAAAGTACCAAATAAAAGAATATGTATTTACTGTGTCTGATAGTTTTAACCGATTTGATTATATTTCATTGGATTCGTCATATTTGATGTATAGGAAGAATGCTTCGTCCGATACAAAGAATAACACTTGCACTGCCAGTGGAAGTTCCGTTGCACTCTCTTTGGCGCAAGAGAGTACGTCATCGTCTACAAACACTGCGATAACAGAGAACACTGTACCTAGTCCTAACAGTTACAGCTGGTCACCGGCATTATATCAGCACACACATGGTAACTATTACAAATTAAAAATTATATATTTAACATATTTAAAGCCATGGTTTTAAAAGAAAGATAGAATTTCATTATATTTAAACATATAATTACAAATGTAATTGTATATATGTTATATGTTTAAGTATATTAAAATTCTATCTTTATTCTTTTAAAACGCATGCCTTTAATTCCACATTGAAGAACGTTTGTTTCATCTTACAGGACAAAAAGCTGTTTTAGATATAGCTGTACAAGGTTCTTCGAATAATACTCCTAAGACTATTGATAAGTAAGTAAAGTGCTTGCTAAGTATTGTAATTTTAACAAGTCTTTCACATACGTTTTATTGTATGTGTAAATTATAAAATTACATTCTTTTCGTCTTTTATCCGTTTGTGCAGGTCCCCGGAGGAAGCCGCCAGTTTGCCGTAATAATTTATAACTTAACTGTAACATAGCAGATGTTCTGTGATTTCCATTTCAAATGCTAATCATAATCACGAAGTTAAAAAAGAAAGGAATAATTATTCCGTCAAACAGGATTATGGGGATGCATGTACCATTTGTATTATACATTTGACTCTTCTTGTTTCCCGAAAATCAACAAGATATCTCTCTCAGATCTGTCATGCATTACGTAGTACAAAATATAACAGCACACACTCTCGCTCTATTTTCAGCTGCTGCTTATAATTGCGTATGCGAAATTTATTATCTTTAAAATTGCATTCCAAGAATGTTGTAGGCTAGATGTTTCATTAGAATATATTATTTAATATTATTTATTTCCCATATGTGTAAGTTACACGTCCGGAGAGAACAATAAATAAAGATTAGTAATAAATTATAGTCAGACGCGTATTTATATATTCTATACCTATCCCAGATATTTTAACAAAACTTGATTCGTTTTTTAATTCGAGTGAAAATAAAGGTTTTATTTTTTTTAATGTTTTTTATAATTAAAAACTAAAAAGATTAAAAAGAATCAAATTAATGTAGCGTATAGTAATTATCAAATTAATCTTTCAATACAGTCCATCTGTTTTTCTCTTTTGAAAGAGAAGAGGAGAAAGTGGAACAGCTGCACAGGTGGTGCAAAGTGCAGCTCGGATCAACAGAATCAAAATGGCGGCGTACTGCGATGGTATTTATTATTAGATTAATTGTTGCTGGCTTTAAGCAATTTGGACTGCTGACATCGCCGAGTAATAACGCAGTTCGTAAAATAGTGCTCACGGCTGATTAAGGATGACAAAGTCACAAATATGGTACGTTGTTTCGCGTCTTTTGTTCACCTGCGACGAGTATCAAAATACGAGTGACACCTGTCAATGAACGGAAATGTTAATGTTAACGTTAACGGGATCATGTTATTTAATTCATAATTCGAGGAAGAAAATTGCGTTGTTTGAAATTCACTCAAAAATGTTATATTCCCCTTATATTTGACACAAAGAACTGCGAATACCTCGACGAACGAACCTCAGGGGTTAAGCCAAGCTTTGGTCGATTAATTTCACTGTATTTTCAGAATCTATTGAGAAAAGGGACGGATTGACGTTTCATCGCGAAAGAATTACATTTCTGTTTCCTTGCAGAACCGCAGCTCCGAAATTATCTATCATTTTCTCGTTATTTATTATTTCTCCCTTGAGTTCTCATCAGGCCTGTTCGTTTTAGCCGAATTTTTTTGCACAGTTCATTTCTTTCTTCCTTTTCTTTTCACGTTGGAGAGCTAGGAAAAGAGAAAAGATGAACTGCGCGAGAAGTTTCAGTTCAAACAAACAGGCCTGTGGTTTTCAAGAAAAGAGATGACCTGAACGTTCTGAAAATAACGTGAACGGATATAGCAGAAGTTGCAGAAACATTATTTCACGTGTTAACGGAACATGACCGTGACAATTAAAGCCTCCGTCACTCCAAGCGCACATATTATACTGTTACCAGTTAGTGATTATTAATACCATTGTGTCCATTCAGATGATCACCTCTAACTGACTACACAATATGGACACAGCAATAATTGACGACTAGACATTGAGCCGCCGGCGTCAGATCGACACGATGGACAATCTGTCGGATTCATTCCGAGGGGAGTTGGATTCGGTGACCTCGACGGACTCGCTGCAATTGATCACAGATGAATTCCATCTGCGACACCTGTCCACGCCCGATGTCTCCAACATCGAGCTGTCGAAGCGCGCGGCTCTGCTGGAACTGGAGAACGAGCGGCTGCGCGTCGACTTGGAAAACGCGCGGATCGATCTAAACGCCCGGATCGCCGCGAATCAGGGTCTCAAGGGCAAGGTAACCGAGCTGTTCGTCGAGATGCAAACGGTGCTGCAGGACAAGCAGAGGCTACAAAATACGCTGACCGATACCAATAATCGACTGTCCGCCGCGGAGGCATCCGCGAAGTGGTACCAATCGCAGGTGCACATCCTGATGGCCAGCAAGAAGAGCCTGCAGGTGGAGATAGACACGTACCAGGGTATACTGAAGCAACGGCAGCGCGCGATAGCGGACGTAAATGCCGGTTACAAGAAGCTGAGCGCCGAGTACACCGAACTCGCGCAGCAGTATCAGAGGGAGAAGCAAGAAATGCGGAATGCGATGAAAGACTTGCAATCGCACATCCGGTCTATCGATACGGCGCAAGACGCGTTGGACGGAAACTCGACGGGCAGTCCGACAGACATGTCCATGATGTTGGAGGCGACCGAAGACGAGTTGCGAAACACCAAAGCCGAACTGAAGACGCTGGAGCAACGCCTGATGGGCAACGAAATGGCCAGGATGTCGATGGAGAACACGCTGAGCAAGCAGCGCGTTCTGATCTCGTCCATGGAGGAGAACATGCAGAAGTCCGAGACGGAGAGAAACGAGACCGCCGATCTGTTGCGGAAAACCCAGTTCGAGATACAGAAGCTGAGGTCCGAGAACGAGACGCTGCAGACGTCGTTATTGGCGTCCAAACGGGAGCAAAGTCAAGTGGAGGACGCGATATCTCATCTGCGACTGCAGCTGACCAAAATGATAGCGCATTACAAGCTGTTGAAATCTAAGAACGCGGAATCCGAGGAGAAACTGAGTACCATGCAGGACCTCGCGAACGAAAATAAACGCTTGAAGACTTTGTCGTATAAAGCGAACAGTGCTCTGTTTAAGAAACTCAGAGAAGAGAAGGCTAAGACGAGGAATCTGGAGCAGAAATTCTACTGCAAGCAGACGAACGATCAACTTGGCATTATGGTATATTAATATCCTTATATAATATATAGATATTCACCCAATAAAATCATCTTCTTTTTGCAACTTGTGTAATGCCGATATGTAACGTAAAATCACAAGTATCAAAATTTTGCCTTGTGATATGGAATTGCTCATGTATATCGGATTCTTTTTTTTTTCCAGAAGAATAAAACGGAACATTCTTTGCGAGAATACCTGAAACAAGTTCTGTCGAAAAACAAGGTATACAAATATTATAGTAAATGATTCTCTGCTTATTTAATTAAAAACAGTATTGTTAATAGGATTCAAAGTTTAAGTTTTGTTATGCACTTTACAGGATTTACAGGACCAACTAAAATCGATAACTAGAGTAGCCGACGAAAGTATTGACGAAGGATACGGTGACAGCAATAGTATTAACACTTCCTCGAACTCGCTCGACGTACCGTCGCCGTCTCCTGTAAACTCAGTATTATTGAACAACGCTGTCGACGTTCTCGCGCGAAGCAAAGACTTTGGTTCGTCGATGCAAAAAGAGCTAAACGCGCTTCGATCGAAGATGGAGACGCTGCGAAACCAATGCGACATGTTGAACGAGCAAAAAGATCATTCCGGTGTCAATGACATAACTCGTCCAAGAGATTCTACGTAGTTCGCGACTTATTTCTTGTTCGTGAATATGCGAATAGAATATACGCTTAGTAAGTAATTACACCTTCATTTTGTACGATATATTTACATATATCGTATTTAATTGAATTTAATTTTAGGATCATATATATGTGGCAAAATATACACTGAATATAGGTATTACTATATACAGATGTTTAGATAATAGTATAAACGACAGTATTCGTTGAAGTGTGTAAAAGAAGGTTGTAAAATGACATTAATATTTATTTGTTATTTCTGGACATATTATATATAACTGTTATTTATCATTATTTATCATATATTATATATTTATTCCCACTTTCGTATTCGACACTCGATTTATAATATTGAAATCGGTTAAAAAATGCGACTAGGTAATGGAAGAGAAATCTATCAACATTATTTTGCAAATAAGTATAAATATAAACAGTAATACTTATCACAATCACAAAACTGCGTAAAGTGCCACGCGCGCAATAGTTGTGTATTATATAATACTTATTCTAATATATGAAACATGGCTGTAATACAAGTGTCAATATTACAAAATATGACATGGGGGTATTTATGTTATCGTTATCAAAGAGAAATTTTAAAGACGTACGCTAATTTCGAAAAAAAAACTTCTACAAAGATGTACGCGACCTGTACGAATATTTTTTTATTGAAAATAAAATGTGCAGAATAAGTTAGAACGCGTGCGACATACGTCGTCTTATCCATGTACTTATAGCTACTGGAACAAATGAAGAGAAGAACACTGTATTCTTTTGCATTTCGTAATATAGCATTTGAAGGAGCGCAATAAAGTTGCTGATCTTCCACTCGTAAGCTTAAGAATTCATTCGACATTTTAACTTATTACGAAAACACACCATAAAAATGTGAATTACATCGATCCCGTTTAACAATAGATATATAATTACATATATAATATGTATTATAACAGTGTTGGGACATTACCGTGAAATAATTAATCTCGACTTTGTATCATATTGTTTTCATAATTCGGTGCGATTAAACGCACTGAAAATATGTCGACAGAGATTTAAATATATGTATATGTTATTAGAAGAGATTCGTATGTTATTTCTCATATATGTTATTTCTCAGTGATCTCATCTTATAAGTTTGGATAATTTTCTATCATTTGTTCTTTTTTTTATAATGCTAAGCCACGTAAGAAGGGCGGCTCCATTCGATGTTAATTAAACGCCTGGACACTAATAAAATCCTACATATTGATAATATAGCACACCTTTCTTAGTTACAAATTTTCTGGAATTAAATTTTCTAATAAAAATGATAATACAATATAAAGCTGAAGAAAATGCTTCTATTAATAAAGCTATGAAAAAGCTTCATCTTTATGGCGATCTCAAATGTAGAAGCAAATCTCAATGAATCTTAATCATATTAAAATATAAAGAGAAAACGTTACATGTAAGTTATACAAGCTGCTCTGCCAATTCAAGGAAATAAAAAAACTTTGCTAAGCGGTGTGTATTGTATCTAGAGATATCGAATTAAAGTTTAGAAAAACATTGACATAATAGGTACAGATGATAGGGCCTATATATAATAGATCAGCTCAGCTTCACACTAATTCCGTGCTGGATAATAATATAGTTATACGTAACAAAAATAAACGTAAGATTTTCAACTAAAAATTTAATTTTATGTTATACATCTGTCTTTTTTAATCAAAGGAATTATCCAATAACGCATCGCATTATACAGAAGCTCAGTATAATTCGGCAAGCTCTTGAGGCATGTCAAGGATTGCTCGCAAACAGTTTTACATATACGTAAAAAAGTGATGTAATAAAAAAACTAAATAAAAACCATCGCTCTCTAAAATATCACAGACATACGTAAAACGCGTAAGAAAGGAGTAAATAGGTACTCCCTATATATATTATATAAAGTCAATCCCTGTGTGATTTTCCGTCTCTTTTTTTCTCTTTTAATAATCCGACATTCTTTGGTATACTTACAAATAGAAATAGATAGTAAGAGTAACTTAATTATCCTAACCATAGAGACAATGATATTGCCACATTTAAAACGTACAAGAATCTTTAAAATTAAATCGTTTCGAGTGTTCACTTATTTCCGCATTATATATAATTTTAAGATCAGACATACATGTGTTTTAAACGAATACATAGATATCTTTGAAACACCTAAACATAATAAAAATTTCGTATAATTTTGGAAGGGGAGAAAATATCAGATATAAATGTCTAAAAACTTTCCTGCATTCTGAATGTAGGAAAGTTTTCAGAATTAAATATCGGTTACTTATACATGTGATCCGTTTTTATATATTGTTTATAATTTAGAAGATATACCTCGAATAAGTTTAGAGACGTTTTGTAAAATATAGAAACAACAAAAGCTTTTTGATAGTTGTACAATTCATTTTCGAGTATCTTTTCACAGTGGCATCATTACAATGACTGAAACAATTATATTTTAAACAGTCTGCGCTTTAATTTTTTTTTTCAATCGTTGCAAAAGTGTCATAAATAATAAAGTTAATTATGCAATCGTAACACATTCAATCCGAGTAGGATCGATATTGTGTTTTATATGTATGAAATATACTAGGCTTCAGATTTTTTCAATCTCGCAAATTTTTTTTACAGACAATTCAATAAATAATTTAATTATAAAAAATAAAACAGCTGGCGGATTATGTTCTAAAATTATAAGCAGATATAAACGGTTAACTTAAATAAATTACATAAAAAATGATGAAATTTTGCGGGCGAATTCCGAAAAATCCAAAATCATTCGAATTCTCATATGTTTAAAATTTCCTTACTTTAGCCTATTACCCTTTTGTAAGTATCACATTCATGTGGAAGAGTTTATACACAAGAGGGGTTGCTAACAATTTTTTCCTCGAGATAATATTTAATAGATATATATATATGTATATACACATATATAGAGTGAGGGAGTATCTACAATAGACGATGCCTTCGTCTCCTTAAACTTAGAGTTGAGTTTTACGCAAAGAAAAAGTAAATTAAACTATATATATGTATATATATAATATATAATACGGTGAGAATGCGAGGAACTTTGCGAAAGAGGAATATAACTTAAAGTAACAGACTTAGTTCTTAGCTGTATTTAATATGAAACTTGTTCTGCTCTCAAATTTGAAATGCGATCAATGCATTTCTTGCATTTTCTTTTTTTTTTTATCACAATTATCTATGCTTATCGATCGCAAGCATTTCGATTATAAACTCGAATTGCGAACGACGTAAAAAGACGGATCTAAAAATTTACGTTACTTTAAAGTGTATCAATTTGCAAAACGTCTGCAGGAAATTTTCATATATGCCATGTACTTTCTTCGTGAGCGAACGATCATTAAATGGCACAATTCGTATATACAGCGTGTTCTAAAGGTCGCTCTGACGTAAATATTCTTCGAAGTTGCCTTCTGAGATGTCACGTGTGATAAAAACTCTCAAGTTTATTAGCTGTCTCTTTTTTAGAAATTTGCATATATAAAAAAAAAACGGATTCTGTCAGTAATAATCTTCTTAACAATGATGATCTATATACAGCTCAATCAAACTTATCATCTTTCCCATTAAAAAAGTAAATGTGTGTATCAATATAAAAATTACAATTCTTAGTAAACGTAATTAAACTAAAAAGTAAATTTCAAGTTTAGAATATGTTATACAAGGTATGCCTGAAAAAAATTTGGTTTTCTTATGTTTTATCCCTTTGGCAGGCGAATACAATAATGTGCTATTAACAGATGATACACAAGAAACCCCTTAGTTATAAAACTTGCTCCGCATTTAGAACACATATATAATTCTTTCGTTTCCTCGCTTGTTTTTGAGGTTCCTGCCGAAGGAGTTTGTTCTATTTCTTGGGAATTTTTCGGAGGAGTTTTCTTGGGTTCGGAGATTGAGAGGTTCCTGCCGAAAGAGTTTATTCTTGGGAAGAACTTGCCGAAAATATCTTGGGGAGAATTTTCCTTGAATTTCTTTTTTCATCCGGCCAGGGTGATCTGAGATGATCGAATGGAAGAAAAATCATATAATGCCGAAAATACGTATGTAAATATAAAAAACGAATATTATCAGAAAAGTTGTTAAAGACATTACGTACCTAGTTTTTGCAACAGTGTTCATCTTAGTAAATATTTTCAGCACTATATCTAGTTTTTTTATTTGACCATTCAACTAATTTCCCTTAAGGAGATCATCTTTCTCAGGAACTATCTTATTCATATAAAGAATCTTTCTGATTAACGCAAGTTTAGCAAAGCGACTTTTGGAACACCCTGTATACACATACATTTCGACAATTGTAACTAAATATTCCAAGTGCGTTAAATAGGAATTGAAATTGGCGTAATTTCGTTAAGCTTAATTCAATCTAAACTTACCGAAATTATACCAATTACAATATACCTGGCAATATCGTACGCTAAGCGTAATGAGTGGTGTCTGTTAATTTTGATTATTTCAATTTTATACCAATGTATAAAATATCTGTTTTCATTGGAGGGGAAGGGGGGATTTTTGATTGCTTAAATTATCTCGTAACTTTCGTTCTCTGTTGTACAAAAGTCCGAGTTCCGAACTATTCGCATTGTTACGTTTCTTCAATGTTGTCGTCTGATTTTGTATACTTAAGAAATTGAGAAATCGGATATAAACATTTACACAGGTCGTATTGCGTCGAGCAACAAATATTTTAGTTGCAAATTGTTTGACAAATGTTTGACAAACAGATATTCTCTTTTTAAAAAGATTTAAAAAAAAACCATGGAAAATAAAATTATCGATTGATAAATAAATTTATGTTCGCGAAACTTATTTTGTATGAGCGGTCAACGTCTTTATCTTCAATATTTAACATTATCACTTCGAGCTTCTCTTCGAAATAATTGATTTCGAAATAATTTGAGTTTCGAAATAATTAATTGATATTTCCGAAAATTAGTATCATGAAAAAATGAATCTATTAAAGAAAATTTTTTCCTAAAATATTTCTTTGCTAGATCTGGAACTCCCTATATAAAAGTAGTCACCTCTCGCAAGCATTCTCATTTAGCGTTACACGTGATTATTTCATTTTAAATTCCGTTTTCTTAATACAAAAAATGCATTATCTTAATCTTCTGTTAACACAATAGAAGATTAAGACAATCATATGTAACGTTTAATACGCGATGAGAAGCGTCCATTTATACGCGTAATTAGAGACGACAAAATAAAAAAACAGATAATCATCAAAGATAAATTTGACCTTTTCGTACTCGCGGCAGTGGATATGAAGGTAATATAATTATTGCGTGAATCATCGGTTTTCTTTGTCTTTCTAAGTTCGCTTTTAAATATATATGTAAACAGCGTGTGTGTAAAATTTTTTATATAATATTTATTTTATATAAAAATCCGCACTGCGCGCTGACATGCTAAATTACTTTAAAGATATTCTCCTCTTTTATTCGTTTAGTAACTCTAGATCTGATGCAATTATAACAAAACAATAGTTTTATGTATCAAATGTAAGTTTATTTTTTACTATATATGTCACTAATTTATTTGTTTCTCTTTTTCATTTCAACTGCAAATATTATTATATACTGTTCTATTATTATATATAATCTTAGTAATTCAAATAGATCCCTATGACAAATCTAAATAGCTATCCTTTCTGTTTTTTCTCCTCTAAAAGCAATATAGTGATAAAGCAAAGAAATAATAATTTCCCTATTAAACCTAGAAATTGTTAAAGGTATGCATTCTTCAATAAAAATTAGCTAATTTTTATTATTTAAAAATTTAATGCTATTTCTATTTTCCATATACAATATATAATATTTTAATTTATATTTAATATTTAAACATTTTTATATTTATATTGATCCGTACTAGTATGTGTAAATAAAATGTAATGATTTCTTCCTCTTCATCTTAAATAAGATTTTTTTAATGTCGAGAAAAAGATTGCTATTTTTGCGATTTTCTTCAGAATTTGGAATATATCATTAAATTTATATTTTGCAAAAGACAAAGAGAACCAATGAATTAAACGTCACGAGATTCCGCGTTAATTAAAGAATAAAGAAAAGAAAGGAAAGGAACTAAAACGAAACGATATCAACTACTTTGTACGATTACGAATTGTTCGAAGAAAGAGCACCATGGCTTCGATCTACGTAGACAGTTCAGACGGGAGGTCGCGACGCATCTCATCGCCATTGTGACGATGGGGATGCTATCGTCGAACAACGACACCTATAAGTTTATTATCGCAATGAGACTATTCGAGGAGAACAAACAGCCATCATATATTACACTGACGATTATGCTACTAGCTAAATAGAATATTGTATACACTTAGCGAAAAAGCGAAGAGGAGACCAGACCAGACTTGGGCGGCGAACTTATCACGAGCCCATTGTCATCTGGGAGTAGATTCCGTCTGCCTGACTTTGTCAAAGTGGCGCCGGTAATGGGCCCGACCGCGACCCCGATGCCGATGGCCGTGATTATGATTGTTGTGGCCGTGATTGTGCTGCATTTGATTACGCGATTGGTACTGTGGGTGATGGTGGTTCTGCGACTGATGCGTCGATTGCTTGGAGTTCTACCGCGCCAAAAAACGAAAATGCTCGCTTAATAAAAGTTGAAGATTTGAAAACCCAGGACATAGATGGCAAAAAAGACTGCAACTTCTGGCTTTTATTTCAAGATTTCAACTATAGAGAAGAGAGTTTATTAAAGGTGTATATCCCAATAAAACGATATATTTCGCGTACAACGTATTGTATCGCGATCATCGAGGTCACTAATTACTTACCACTTGAACCGATTGCAAAGTAGTGGTATTTGAATACGCATTCAAACTTGTGCCAGGTGGGCTAACCTCCTCTGCAGCAGCAGCGGGATCGTCCTCCGTTCTTACCAACATTTTAACGCCTTCGGCCTCCAAATCAATTATACCGCCCCGCTGTTGCTGCCGCAGGTACAGAGCGGCCATGTGCTTCTGCAATTCCCTCAACTCGGCGGTGACAGAGAAATCGGTAGCAGCCTCGACGTCGATCGGCGGCGGCGCCGACCACAAGCTCTCAACGTCGCAGTTGACAGATTCTCGGCAAACGGGGCATATAGCCTAAAGAAATAAACATTAATAAATAAATATAAATACTGACAGAGAGAATAAAAAAACCAACATTACAACAATGGATAAAAAGAAATCTATGCTAGCACTTCCTAGCAATATTTTATTTGTGACACTCACTTGGAACTTGTTTGTAGTATCCTGCTGCCACTGCGGTAACTTCTCCTGCTCTTCCCTGTAGTATCTCTCGGCAGCGGCGACGTGTGCCGCCAAGCAGTGCGAATGAAAATAGTGATAGCATTCCGTCTTCGTAAATTCGTCCCCCTCTCGGAAGCCGTACAAGCAGACGGCACATTGATCGGTGGGAAGATTGCTTCTCGTCAGGTGTTCTCGTATTAACTGGATTATTACAATTGTCTATATATATTATTATTATTAACATAATTATACTAATTAAAATTGCTATTACTATCACCATGTATATTATCATTATATCTTATATTTTTTAAAAATGGTTATTAAAATCTAACTATAAATTACAATTTTTTATTTAAAAAATTAAATTAGAAATTTTGTGTATTTATCATATTTTATCTTAAATTAAGGTTAAAACATATTGTGCTTTATTTGATTTAAAAATAACAATGTATTTATTTATTTTACGAGAAAATTTATCGACATTTAGTAACACAATTGTAAGTTGTGAAAAAAAATCAAATTCACTGTTCAATATAATTTATTTTCATATACCTTTTATGTAATTGCATACTTAATTAAAAAATTGTAACTAAAACAATTAATGACTACATATCCCTACATATCGTTTCAGTTTTGATAATTTTTATTCGAGAAATAATATCCGGATATTAAAACATGCATAGGATTGCATATTATTTCAATATTTTTATTGTAAAAACAGATATATAAATTTATGTTCTCACAAATGTTTATAATATACATATATAAAGATATATCTATAAATATACTACCTTGATCAAAAAGTTCCCGGAATTTATTTAGAAAATGCAAAATACAAGTTTATTCATCAATATTAATATTGTCC